CACCTTGTGTTTCTCTAGCAGGCCCATGATGATCATTTTTCCCCATTTTCATCACAAATTTGTTTCGGGCAAGGGCTAGCGAGGGAATGGAGAGAGCAAGACACCATGAGGGAGAGATGGTGGGTGAGAGCAAGTCCCCTGTGCTTTGCAAAGTGGAAACAGAGAGAGAGAGGGAGGGAGAGAGAGGGGGGTAAACAAGAGAGAAAGGGGAGGAGGGTATATATAAGGGGGATGGAGCAAAAAGGAGAGAAGCGGGGGGGCACATCTGCACAGTGACCTTTTTCTGATCCAATCTCACTGATGAATTCTAATGAAGGATTTAATAAAATCACAGTTTACAATCTGTCTCTGCATCAAAGCGTGCAATCCAATTCAAAACACAGGCCCATCTACATTTCCAATATTGTTGCAAACCCATCAACCCCACCAAGCCCTTCCCCAAAAAAGCACATGTGTGTGTATGTGTGTGAGGAACGGAGAGAGAAAAATTGGCCAGGATGGAGAGTGAGCGGCTGGCGCATTTGTTCCAGCTGTAGCCTAATGTCACAACTCGTCATATTCATTTGGCCTTCTAATGAGGCTAAAGTCAACAAGGTGCAGCATACATGAGTGGAATTGCTGCTGCACCTCACCACTAAATGAACAGAGAGAAGCAGATGAGAGAGTAAGAGACATGACAGACGTGATACTCACAGAAAGCAGAACATGGGAAATCAATTCAGACTTGAAAATGTACAGTACTACCATAAGTTCACACACACACACACACACACACACACACAGGCTGCCATAAGATTGCATTGACATTTCCCTGAGATCAAAAGGGCATACCTGTTACACTGTCAGTAAGCTCAGAGTCTGCAGAGTAAACAAGACAGATGGATAGATCAATGCAACTGTTTGAATGCCTGTAAGATGATGCAGTGAACAGGAGAGGGCCCACTTTAAAGAGATGCTGAAGAACCTGTGAACTCCAAACTGTCAGACTCAGCAAATACTTTGCAACAGTGACATCTACTGGTGAGGAGTTAAAACAACAACACTCTATCAGCCTTTAGCAGGGACCACACTACAGGTCCAAATAAGCCAAAACATATACAAAAATTTCGGCTCATGTACAAAAGGTGTGAATGAAAACAAAGTTGTAATGTTTTCAGAAACAAAAAGCAAAACTTATAGTGGCACTCCAATTGTTTTACCCATGAAATTTAGTTTCATGGTTTTTTTGATGTCATCAGAAAAAAAAGTAAGCTTAAAATACAACAATGACCCACTCATATATACATACACATCCAGGACAACCAGAAACAAACAAATGATAATAAATATCATAAAGATACTATCAAAGAACGAAAGCAAGAAATGTACATACACTCAAAATACAGAAATACTTTAACCCTACAAACTGTGAAAAATATGATCCAAGATAGAAAGACATAATAAAGGGCAAATCGTTTAGAAATAACAACTACATAAAAGATATTGGTGAAAAATCATATGTCCCACGAAGAAAAAAAAAGTAAGTACAGAAGATAAACAATATCAAAGTAGCAAACGAATACCAACAGAAAAGCCAGTAAATAGCACAAGTCTAAAGGCATAAACTCAATGAAAGATGAATAAATCTAGATAGAAAGGTAAACCTGCTAAAGTTACCACATAGTCTGGAGAAATATAATTACTAAGAGGAATTGGAAAGCTAACAGTTCAAATGTGTGTTATTTGAAGCCAACACAAAGTGAGTTAGCTTGTCAGACAGAAGAAAAGATCCATATTCATGCAGTCTGACAACTGACAACAGAAAACAGCAGACCCTGAATGATGACTGCATGTTAACTTACACTAAAATTCAGTTAAATAAATATTCCACTAGGCTGGACTACCCTGTTTAATAATGAAATAAAAAACTTGGCAGCCCAGATTGAACCATGATGCTCAAAAGCCTCCATGTTATCATTCATATCAATAGTCAGCTTTAATCTACCTTTCAGCAGTTAAGAAATACTGTTAAAAGTTTTTTATTAGCCAAGCAGACCCCGTCTTACATGGGAACCGTAACCTGCACCAGGCCTGTCACCCAGGCAATGATGAAATTACCGGGCTTGCAGTGCTTTGCTGTTGTAATATGATTCCCATAGTCAAATTGTTTTCCATCATCCAACAGGAGCAGTGAAAGCTGAGCTCAGCTACAGAACAGAGCCCCCACAGGAGGTCTCAGCAAGGGTGGATGCTTGGAAACCCAGAGGTTGGTTCTGTTACCCTGACCAAAGCCTCACTGCTGCATCTGCACAGCGTGTTAATGAATAACATAACTCCATCTGCACTGTATCCACTGAAATGGGATCAAAGCCACAATATCAATACTACGTAATAGATTGTGCCATCTCTGAGGAATAGGTGCATTGATTGGATATGAGATCTAATGTCTGACTGCTGCCTGCTTCTGAACAGCTGCAATTTCTCTCTGATTAGACTTCAGATTGCAGGTACTTTCTGTATCGACAACACACACTAATGAAACTGTTTGTGCCAGAATTCCAATCTACATTCAGCGCTGTGAGCATGTATGGTTTAATACGGATGTTTAGGTGTGGGGTATGTGCTGGATATTTACTGATTCTGTGTGCATGTGCGTGTGTCTCCAGAAGGCCCGACTTGATCAGAGAGTGGAGCGACAGCTGTGCTACAAATCAGACCCCATTTACTGGTGACAGAGTCATTAAAGCCTGCTCATCCCATAAAGCACAATGCACATGGTCAAATACCATTCACTCCATTCAGACCCATAATTCAGTCTACTGGACACACATACAGAGTCACACATGCTAATACACACACACACACACTCACAGATGCGCATACAATCTCTTGCAAAACTAAACCATGTGTGTCAGTTGGAACGAGTGTAGGAGGCAGTTTCCTGCATGTGCCTGTGTGTGTGTGTGTGTGTGTAGAGTTTGTGAATCCATACTCTGCAGGGTGATAATGACACAGAGCTAAAGATGGATATTTACTAAAAGCACCACAGCAGTAAACACTGCCACACTTTGTCTGTGTTTTGTTGTTTTACAATAAATGCACAACAAAACACAAATACTGCATCCTCTTTTCTTCTTCCTGTCCCAGCTCAGGAAGTTCACCCTGGCCCAGGAGCTGCTGATACAGTTCTACAGAGGAATCATCAAGTCTGTTCTCTGCTCATCCATCACTATCTGGTTTGGTTCAACAACCAAACAGGACAGAAACAAACTCCAGCGGACAGTCAGGACTGCAGAAAAGGTCATCGGTGCCAGTCTGACCTCTATAGAGGACCTGTTAACTTCACAGGTCAAAAAGGAGGGCAGAGAAGGACACAATCTGTTTGAACTCCTCCCCTCTGGACCATGCTCCAGGCCACTGTACGACAAAATAATCAGGCACAACGACAGTTTCTTCCTCTGTGCCATCACTCTGATGAACACTGAACCCATGTGTCAGGTCCGCTCGGCGCGACCTGCCTCTCTTCTGCCTTTCTCTCTCCTGCTCGCTCTTTCTGCGGGATCAGCGCCTCAGCTGTGTCGCATGTTGTAATCAGTGACTTGTGGTTTGACGCGCACAGCTGGGGCACATCACTGTAATCACCCTCCTACCTTATTTATACCTCTGGCGGACGCTCCGCCATCGCCGGAGCATTAACTACTGTAACGTGCAAACCCTGTAACAGCCCTATACTCGTGGTATGTAGTGTACATCATTTTGTTTTGACGGTTCCTGTGCTGTGGATCTCTGAGTTTGTTTGTTTTTGTCCATGAGGTTAGCCAGACGCTACTTGTGTATACAAGCTGACAGTTCCTGTGCTGTGGAAAACCGTTTTGTTCGCCTGTCCTCATGGTTAGCCTGTCTATTCACCTGTCCATCCTCATCCTCCTGCTAACCGTAGTCTTGCCGTTAGTTTATCCTTGTACTGTATTCATTGACTGTTCCTTTTTTTTTGTGTGTGTTCCCCACCATAAAACCACCTTTTTTTACTAGCAACTGGGTCAACAATCTTGAGTCCTGCCTCAGTTCTCCCTCACCCTCCTGATGAGGGGGATTAAACCATAACACCATGACTGTATAACAGAACAACAACCCTCAGGGCAATACCTGTAAATATACCTCTGTATATACCTGTGTGAAAAACTCCATCTAAACTGTGCATATCCATCCATCCATTATCTATACCGCTCATTCCTGAAGAGGGTCACGGGGGGGCTGGAGCCAATCCCAGCTGATTGGGCAAGAAGAGGGGTCCACCCTGGACAGGTCACCAGTCTGTCACAGGGCTGACATGTAGACAAACAACCACACACACTCACTCACTAACAATTTAGTCACCATCACCCTAAGCTGCATGTCTTTGGACTGTGTGAGGAAGCTGGACTACCCAGAGCGAACCCACCCAGGCACAGGGAGAACATGCAGACTCAACTGTGTATATATACAGTATTTCTGTATTTATAAGTACTTTATTTTTATTGCCCTAATGCACATTCCATTTTCTCATTTGTACATGCTTTTTCTTTTCTTTTTTTGCTCTCTGTCTTATTTTGTTTACTTGTTTACTCGTTGCCCTACAGAAGAATATTGTACATACACACTGAGAGCCACTGTACTGGAGTCAAACTCCTTGTGTGTGCAGCACACCTGGCCAGTAAAACTTATTCTGATTCAGTCTCTCATGTTTAGCATAAATATACCCAAAGCATACAAATATACAGTATGCAGTTGCCAATTTACTACATGCCCCTTTGGTACATTTCTTCACAGAAACACTATGATTTGTCCTGCCACTGTAACAGCCTCTCTCCTCTACATCATGGTCTTTATCACAGACTTCATCAATGAAAACATCATAGTGTTGCAGAAATGTAGATAATATAATATACACTACCAGTCAGGTGTTTGGACACATTTTCCCATTCAATTCAGGTCACACACACACACACACAGACTTCCTCCAAGTAAGGTATCTGTCTTACCTTTCTCTGAGAACTCACACTCCTTCATGGCCTGGTCACAGTCACAGTGTAGGAGCACAGCTATTAATGACCCGTTGACTTTGAGATGAAGATCTTGGCTACACATCACCATGTGCCTGAAGAGGAAGCTCCAAAAAATAGGATTTCTTTTATTGTCTAACCCAGCATTGCCATTTTCTTGACCATCTATATTTCACTACAAACTGTGTCACCATATAGTCCTCAGGGTGATTCATACAGCACAATGATGTTATAAAATCATAGGTGTAGATATATTTAATGCAAAAAGAGAAAAAATCTAAGTGACATAAAAATGTATCTGATGTAAAGTTTGCATACATAACATCAAGACAGAAAAAATATGCAGTACCTTTTCTGACAGCAGCTTTGAATATACTCCCACGTAAAAGTTAGACTTTAAAACTTCTGAGAAACCAACATTTCTTCAAGTAGTTTTAGGTATAAATCCTTCCAAGGTCTCTAAACTGTGTACAGATGTATAGCAGAGCTGAAAACTTGTCTGCCATGATGACAGCACCAAAGAAAAAATGTCCTCTTTTTTTTTTTAAAGAATACTGTCAGAGTGGTTTTGTTTCCACTTTTGTATTCAGGAAGAGATAAAGTCACAAAATGGTTCTTTCACGGGTGAGAGGGAGAGCAAAACAAGGAGGGTCACACAAACCAAAACTGAGCTGAGGACTTTAAACTCCAATGAGCATATGCCACAGAAAAGGACATTATACATTTATTCTGAAAAATCAGTTATCTCCAGTTATCTCTTCTGCTGGAACAGACATAACATTAATATGATCTTTTTAGGCTTTGAAGTTTAAAAATACATTTGCATTTACAACAGAAACTTACTTTATTGTTAGAAAAGACGTCTCTCACCTAAATGATATTAAGTTAAAAAAAAAATCTAACTAAATGTAGTGTCATTTAGCAAACTGTTGTGCCCCAGGCCACTCCAGTATTCCCAGTTTCCCATTGTCCTGCCTTGTGACTCTATTGGTGTGTCTGCTTTCAAGCCGTTTTCCTCTACACCAACGCAGAGGCAAAAATTCAGAAGACTTGCCTGAGGAAAGATTAAACTTCTCTCAAAAAGTAAAAATATTTTGTCTTTACAAATAGATAATCCCAGAAAAGGTGCGAAGGAGACTATTTTCCACCCATGACGACACGAGACACATTTGTTTCCAGCATGTAAGCCGAATATAAAGTCTCACCTGAATGTTGTCAGTTGAAGTTCGTTGGAGGTGAAGCCAGGTGGGGAGGTGAAGCCAGGTGGGGCTGCTGCAGTGATTTCCCTAAACAAACAGACACGGGAGCGCACCTGCAATTCAAATAGAGACCGGAGACATGTACAACGAAACGAGGTCGTATCTCTAAAACCTCTATTTGCGTGCATTTGAATAGGACACACTGACTTTAAAATATTCTAAGTCACTGGGGTCCTTGAACCAAACTAATGATGAAAAGATGATTTTATTTTCCTGACTATACATCGTTCCGATCAAGCTTTCTGTGCTGTCGGCTATCTGTTGGTGACGTCTAATAAGCAGCACTAATGGCAAGTTAACTTTTGAAACATTTACAGTAAATATAAGTGGTTCGGCTCGTTTCATTTTGACCACGGCTCTCTCTCTCTCTCTCTCTCTCTCTCTCTCTGCAGCAGAAACAGTCCGCCCTCGTGTGGACAGAGGCTCCACATGCAGCATCCGGGGGGGGGAGAAGTATGAAGAGGAAGTTTTTCGATTTGTGGTTTTTAATTATGCGATGATTGTAGCCACAGTACATGGGAGAGCAGTGTCTTATGGGTTAGTATTTAAATGGTTTTATTTTGCGTTTGCATTTTTCTACAACTGACTTGTCTGATGTACACCTAGACTTTCTCCAACCAATGTAATACATAGTGACAAAGCGCATTTAGGCCACGCCCACACGGGGATAGGGGTTACAATTTATCTTGTTCCACTGACTTTGTATGGAGTGAAGGCGCCTCTTTGAGAATTCCGCCTTTTTTACAAAAACCTTAAAAATGTCTACAAGCAGCTGTGTGGTAGGCTTCCCACAAGGCAAAGAACCAAGAGGTAGTTTTAAAATGTACCAAACAAAAACAACTTTTAAGAGGATAAACCCGAGGCATTAGCAGGAAGAACAGGAGTAGCCTGCTAACACACAGCTAACTTGTCCTATAATCGTTTTAGTCATCAACCATACCCTGACTATCGCTAATTTTCCTCCCTTGTGTTATGCCCTAGCAAGCTACTGCAGTTAGCTAAGGCTCCTGCAAACATAGCAAGACACCTGCCACACACACAGTGTAGAAATTCCTGCTTCCCCATTGTTTCTGCGAATGCCTCACATCTTATCCACTTTTGTCTTCTTATAGTTTCTGTTTTTTACAGCTTTTAAAACTTTAACTCCGGGTTCTTTGCCTTGCATCCTACCACAAAGGAAGGAAGAAAGGAGGAATTGTTTTCCCAGTGCGTGTGGTTTTCAGAGTATGACGCGTTACGCTGGCACCCCCCAAAAAACAAAACAAAAAAAAAATTCACTTGCACCCTCTGGTGCAAGGTCAGAGGTCAGCTAGACAAGAGTACAGGTTAGGTTTCCCAACAGAATCTATGACCTGTCATGTGTATGAGGCTCATCTTCATTAAAAAGACCAAATACTGACATAATCCCTACTGTTTACACCATAGTTCTTAATGCTGTCAGAAGGTGTGACCCATTCTATCTATTCTGGGACATTTTTTTATTTACAGTCAGCAAAATATCTGAACCTATATGAATATTAAATTTCTGGTTGTAATGAGAGACAGTTCGGTGTAACACCTCTCTGAGTGTGGACGGTT